TTTATTTTATGTGTATGAGTGTATTGCCTGCATGTATGTAAGTGCAGCCATATTGTGCAGTGCCCATGGAGGCCAGAAGAGGGTGTCAGATCCCCCAGAACTGGAGTTAGAGAGGGTTGTTAGCCGCTGTGTGGGTGCTGGGAATCAAACCCAGGTCCTCTGCAAGAGTAGTCAGTGCTCTTAACTTCTGAGCCATCTCTCCAGCCCAAAGTCTACATTTTATGTGAATTGCATTCTACAATCTATTTACTTGTCATGCAATCGTGCTCATTTGAGAACCTCAAATTAGAAGTCTTCTATCCAGCAAGCATCTTTTCATGTGCCTGGACCCAAGTTAGCTGTTAGGGACACAGATGGATGAGACTCAGTTTCTTCTCTCCAGATCTCAAGATTATCACAGTCTAATTTTTACCATCACTCCAATTCTGATTCAACAATTAACAGAACAGTGCCTCTAACCAAGAGGCACAAAATTTGCACCAAGGGCAAATTTTAGTTAGTTTACTGCCTAGCTGGCAAATAAATATGATCCATGACTGAATTGTTTACTTCCTCATCATATCTGTTTAGGAATTTCAGGTTTACAAATTACTAACTCTCCAACCCAAGCACCCTTAAGCAAGAAAGAATATATTGTCTCCCACATCTGGAAACCCCAGGCTAGAGGTATCTTCAAGCTTGGGATGAGGCAAGGATGTGATAGACATTGTCTTGGACCACTGCTCTCAAGTTGACTCCCACAGCCTGTCTCATATCATAGCTGCTCAATGGCAGTAGCACTTCCCCTAATGGCGCAGCCTCAGAGAACAGATGTCTTGATTCTCTATGATCAGAATTGAGACATAGGCCCATCCCTAAAGTTGTCCAAGGGCAGGAATAGACAACTTCCAAGTTACAAGAGTATTGTCAACCCTATCCAGACTGTCAGCAAATAGCTGCCCACAGGAATACCAAGAGCTGCCTTATCCTGTAGGCCCATGAGGAACAAGAAATAGTGATGGTTTTTCAGTCCCACTCAAATTTTAGGGTGGTAGTTATGTAGTAGTCACTAACAAATACTCTAGAGAAATGCTCAGGCTAATACACTAAAGTTTTCTACCTGCCAGCAATGATATTCATCAAATACATGCTGTATGTGGAGCATCTCACATGCCTTCCCTCCGTACACTCTTACAGGCACCTACGAAGGTAGATTCTGTTAGTTTCCCTACTTTAAAATAGAGGAATTTCAGTGTCTTTTCTGCTACCCTGCCTGCTGCAAGACAGAGCTCCTTCAGGCCAGCTAAGATTCTGTGATTCCCCAAGTGCCTGGTTGTTGGGAGGCCTGGTTGCTCTGACAATCACCTAAGGAGTCAAATCTGTCCCAGCTCCTCCGGGGGACCTTTGAAAGCTCTATTATTCATTGATTTCCTTTAAATAGCAATATTGGGAATGGTTGTAATTGATTCCTTGCATTTGTGCTATATTGGTCTTTACTACTGGGATAATGATTTTTATTTTCTCATTGTTCTACTTTATCTTTCCACAGAACATGTGGGATTACATTAGGTGGGATACTGGACATATTAAATGGGAAGCTGAAGATAGGAGAATTCAGACCCAAGTCTCCAGACCAGATGGCAAGAGTAAAGGCCTCTGGCTTTCCTGGCTCTTGGCACTCTTCCACAGTCACCGTGAGCACCCCCACTCCAGTGCTCTACACCCCCGCCAGCAGGCAGTTGGACAAGTTTCCAACATGGATGTTCAGGCAAAGGCTCTGGAGTTACCCAGACCCAAATGTAGATCCCAGCCTTGACTTGTGACAAAAAAAACCGTGTATCCTCCCTTTGTTCAGAAACACGAAGGTTAGAGGCTCTACTTCACAGGGCCATTTGGAAAGAACAATCTGTAACACTCACCCAGGCCACCTAAGCACTCATCAGTGTTTGGTGGCATCTGTCATCTGCTTCATCTCTGTGCTCCGTGGAAAGGAAGATCAGATTGTCAGCATCTAACAAGTGACTGCACCAAATAGGCTTCAGGAAAAAAGCTGGGGTTCAAATTCCACCATTTGGAGGCCATGACTTGAAGGAAGTCTGTTTCCCAGACTGGGCCTAGGTTTCCTTATCTATGTGACAAGGGACAGGGAAGGCTGATTATTATTTCTTCCTTTCTGAAGGTCCACTTGGCACATGGACAGAGGCTACAGAATTAGCCTGAGGCTCCTATGGCTTTGCTGGCCACTTGGTATCAACCTCATCCCTTCACCCCAGGGGATTGGGCCACGGATGGTAACTGACCCAAAAGGGAAGTGGTGGTTGATTGAATAGTAACCCTGGTCCTTAGTGAGCTGAACCAATAGGTGGCCCTTATTAGGAAGCTTGAGTAGAAGTAACAAAATTCTTAGGTGGTTAGCAGGAGAAGCAAAGGGTGAAAGGCCTTGACAAGGTTGAGGGGGGAGAGGTGGTGCTCATGGACCACCAGAGGCTGAAGTCATGAGGAGTGGGATGCTCAGAAAATAGAGACAAAGCTGATGGTTGTAGGGAGGCCAGGGAGGACATCAGAGCCCCAGTGAGCAAAGTCATCTGGACCTGATGACATGTGTATCCACCCAGCTACCATGTAATCACTAGAAGTTCTCGTGTCAAGCACCCCCCCTTCCTTGGTGTAGCTTAAGTGGGTTTCTGTATCTTGCCATTAAAAAGGCATTAAAAGGAGG